CCTCCACCATTAGGCAGTCATCAATCATTTTTCCACCTCACTTATGGCCAAATTCCACTCTCAGATGTGCATTTGTAAATCCTGTTGACGTCAGCAGTTAGTGGTGTACCAAAAGAGAAGAATTTAACTCTTCATATAGTTTCCTCCACTTTCTTAAGGTCCTTTTTACTTTTCCTGAGGCAAGATTTTTTTCCCTAGCATTATGTGTAGGTTTAAACATCGTAAAACATTAAAAAGGCTGGCATCATTGCTGTAAGGTACCACCTCACTGAGCCATATGCTTTAAAACTTTCTAAAGCTGGTGGCAATTCCGTTACATTCCTGTTTTGTTTGGTATGAGATACCCCGTTAGGGAACAGAGCACACTGGCAAATTTAGTTCACAGAAGCTTCAGGGAACAAAAGATGGAATCTTATGTCTTGGAACTTGCTAAAAGAGAACCACGGAAGGGTCTGTTTAAAGAAAAATGTTAAAAAAATTCAGCATTTTGGGGTACCTGGCCATGAAATCTCAAGTTATCCAAATGGCCATATCATTAGAAACTAGACTGTTTATAATAAATAGAAGTTCATTATATGTGACTGAATTATAGGCTAGGAACTAAACAATCTTCCTGAGTATTTAGTTTCTTGGTGTATTTTTGAGGGCTAAGATGAGTTCTGGTGAGTCCGTAGGTGTATTAGAGAGATATATTCTAGTCCTGAGAGTCACAATTCTGTTTTGTTGGAGTCTTTCTTCTTAAGCTAGAAATGAAAATGTTCTTTAAATTTCAAACGTGGGAAGTGTCCTGGCTAGCTTTTATGCTCATTTTCAACAGTGCAGTTTATCATTGATTCAACAATTTCAAATAAATTTTGGAACTGACTCTGGGTTGTGTGGCTGAAGTGGGAAGATATTGTTAATCTTTGGACGTCCGCTATTCCTACCAACTAGCTTTACTGTCTGTAAAATGTAGTCTTGCAGAGGTGGGTCACCATGACAAGTCAGGATTTCCCCAGAAAGGCCTTGCATATTCTTAGAGGTCCCAAAGTGTTTAATGGAACATCATCATTGTCTCTAGGAGCAATAAAAGAAAGGGAAGAAAAAGATAATAAAAATAAGGATTTGGTCCTTCACAGCTCCCTTCAAAAATCTGGATTTCTTCTCTTCCAACACAGCTTTCTATTAGCTGAACCTGATTCAGAGCCAACAGCTGAATCCACACACTGTAGGCTGCAGCTCAGCTGCACAGTAGTATCTTTACTTCTGTGCCAGCTAGGGTTATTACTGAGTTTTCTAACTCCTGCTATAAATAAAGCCTTGTCATCTAAGCATTCAATTTAAATACCTCTCAGTTTATTTTTGAACACTGGAAGTTAATAATAAATATCATCTTTGTTTTTTAATTTTTTTACTGAGTTGATTTAAATGCTCTTGACAGCTCCAATCCAATCCTCCCATCCAAGCTGACAAGCATGACATGCATCTCTGCATACAAGCTCTCAATTATGCATAATCCAATGTTTTCTAGGGTTTTAATTGAATCACTAGTCTCAAACTTGTTATTTTTAATTTACAACATTTGATTTCTGACACCGGCCCCTCTATGTCATAAATTATGCAGGCAAGAGACTTAGTTGTGTGGGTGATTAAAAAAAACTAATTAGGCATGATTAAAAAAAAATAAAACAGAGACCTCTTAAATATGTGCATGTTACCATGTAAGAGAGGCTTATTTCACTGGAAATGCTTGGGTGGTTTTTTTTTTTAAGAGATTATGTTCAGTTCAGTAAAATTTGATTGATTTTGACAGAAATGAAAGAAAATGTAGGACTTTTTCTTCCTTTATATATACCAGAAATTGCATTACATAGCCCGTTGATGCGAATTTCTCCCACAGCTCATTGAATGTAATTTTGTTAAGTGGGCAGGAAAATGAATATGAATAAAACTGAATAGAATCCAACATTTTCCTTGGCACCAGCAGCAAAGCTGAGACATGGCATATATGGATGTAAATATATGTGTATATATATATGTGAGGTACAATTAGCAGTATTAACTTTTCATGCCTCAGCTGATAACAGCAAGAAGGAAAATATGCAGAATGTTAAACATCAGTAAAATGTAGATAGTAGAGGAATGATGTGTCTACACAGGCTGTACCAGTACAGCAGCAAATTAAAGGAAAAGAATGGTTTTCTCTTAAAGTAGGAAGTTACAAATGTACTTGCTACATGAATTTACAGACATTTATTGTTATTATTCAATAACAGGTTAAACCTGGCTATTTTAAATACACTGTGTCAAAAAGTATATAATCTCCTCCCTTTTTAACGTGGTTTTTTTTTTCCAATAATCTGGGGAAAAAATGAGGAAGAATCATTTCTTCCCTCCAGCTGTTCCACATTATCTCTATGCTCTGAGCCTTGAGTCAGTGCACCAAGGACTTACACAGTACAGCTGCTCTATACCCCTAAATCAGCCTATGATGATAACATGAATGAACTAAAGAGTTGCTTCATCAGAAACTTCCAGTTCAGGAAAGAATTTAAATTTTTGCTCAATGCTAGACTTGTACATATTTCCAGCAACTCTGCTCTTCCACGTGCATATCACCGTATGCTTATACAGTTTCCTGGATTAGGACCAAGGACTCAGATGGAGGTGCCTGAGGAAGAGCTGGCAGATTTGTTAGTCCTAACACCCTTAACAGGTTTAAAAAATCATGGGGCTTATTGAAAATTCAGGATGATCAGTTGATCCTCAACAAAATTCACTGTATATTCTGGGGCTGAGATGACATTTCACCTGCATCCAGGGGGAAGGAAGGCAATTCACAAGAACAAGGGTCTTTTCAACTGCTGATGTCCTCAGAAACATGGCATTGAATAGTTGTGGTCTTTTCACTGTGAGGAAGCCTCACTAGAAGGAAGACAAGCATGTTGGAAAGGGCTGGGAGGACACAAGAATGGAGGGCTGAGCCCACGCTGTTATTCTACAGTGGGCAAAGCTACTTTGGCAGTTCTTCACCAATGTTTGTAAGACTGCCAACAAGCCAGAAACTGGTAAGCAAAAGCAAGAGAAAAATCTATCCCTCCAGTTCAGCCATCCTGGGGTGCCACCATGGGACAGAAGGGTTCTGAGAGACCGTGACAAGTGGTTGTTGTTCTTGGCATATCATCTTCATGAACATCCTCAGCTGCTGCCTGCTGCTTCAGATGGTTAACAGAGATACTGCAAATCAAAGCTGGTTGAATTTTTCTGAAAATTGAAAATGCTTGCTAATAAGCTATAAAGAAAAAGTTTAATGTTTGTAAATATATTTTAATTGATACCCAGACAGCTTTTTTTTGGATGAAGAAATATGAGTGCTTAGACACAGAAGAAGAGATCTGACCTCTTTTCAAAGTGATCCTCCTGCAACTCCTGAGAAAGATTTGTAATGTACCCTGGTAATGGAATTGGTAATAAACTGTGAGAGTAGGAAGACACCGTGCTGAAGCTTCTTACCTTTTACTACCTCAGGGCCGGTCTGGACTGGACAGATATCTGTATAAAAATTTGGAAAGGGCTTATAGATTCCTAAGGAGAAATCAGTGGAAAAATCAAAGACCTATCTGCAGTCTCAAATGTTAGAAGAGGTACCAAAATACAGATATTAAAGGTAGAATAGATGTCCTCTGTTCCTGTTTACATGTGTTCCTATCTGTCTTCTAATTCTAAATTCTGTGTTCAGTTACTTTGCACAGTCTTAAAAACTCAACTAGAAATGCTCAATACTTCTGCATTTCAAGTCCTATTTAAAAGGGGATTTTCTAACATAAATGGATTTAACCAAAACTTTTTTTTTTTTATTTTAACCAGCAAAATATAAGGTTTCACTCAAAAGAGACAGGATATGTTGCAGAAGAGGTAATTAGAAATTAAACCATGCACCACCAAAAACCTCTTCAACCATTGTGGTCAAAGTGGTTATAAATCTCCTAAAGTCTGTAATATAGTTGTCCTTTGTATTAGTGCACAGGGATTAGTGTAAGAGGTGAGGGAGAAACAACTTCCTTCTCTTAGGTAACGTCCCCTCAAAAACTTACTAAATCAAAACAAAACAGTAAAAGTGTTATAAAAATAATAGAATTTGTGGAGAACTTGACAGTGCCATAATTTTCTTTACAACCTCCTTCAGCCAAAAAGCTCCTAAAATAAAAACAAAACTAAAAGCAATCCAAGGCTTAAGACTGGATCACCTTCAATCCTTTAATATAAAAGGCAAGCCCACATCAAGTAAAGTTGTTAAGAAATCTGTCAGGTATTTTAAGCTTTAAACTAGATAGGTTGTAATTCCAGATACTCTGCCTCAGTTCAACTCTTGTAATAACTAGAAACCTTTCTTTAATATCTGTGAGCTTTTTCTAAAGACATGTTCTGTTTCCTGCTTTGTCCTTCCACATATATAACTGGTCTCCCTCTCTAGTCTTTACTGTTTAGGGGTACTTTTGGACAGCTATCCTATTTCCTCGCTGTTTCTGTATGTCTTAATATAAACTCAAATATACGCAGATACCTACACATGCATCAATAAAGACCTTTTTCTTTTCACTTTACACTTTCTACTTTTGAACATGACAGAAGAAAATAGCACTTTTCTTCACTTAGCCTAGAACTGAAACCAGGTATTCACTAAGACCATGTTACTACTTCCATTGCAGGATAAATGAGAAGGATACATACGCAAGAAAACCCCTATATAATGTCTGTGCCAGTAATATCCTTACATTCAGGCATGATTTCCAGGAGAAAGCACTGCTCTGAACTTCCATGGCTCAGTTGGGGTCAGCTGTCCCAGCTGTGTCCTCTCCCAACTCCTTGTGTGCCCCCAGCCTGCTCACTGTTGGGGTGGGGTGAGAAGCAGAAAAGGCCTTGACTCTGTGTAAACACTGCTCAACAATAACTAACACATCCCTGTGTCATCAACACTGTTTCCAGCACAAATCCAAAACACAGCCCCATAATAGCTACCCCAACCAAAACCAGCATAATGGGAAAGAAGTTAATTTCCACTGAAGAATAAAAAAGAATTTAAAAAAAAATGTGATCAGATTAGAAGATTTCAACTGAGTGCCTGCATTTAGCTCTTCTGCATACTTCTGCTTCTATGAACATCATGGTATTATGTAGTGGAGATAAGGGAGGCCAGGTTCAGTGCCTGTGAAAAGAAAAATACTGAAAACAAATAGGAACTACTTCCACTCCAGGTCTGCATTTCACTTTCCTGTGATCTCACCTGTACGAGGATTGTGGCATCCAAGTCATATATCATGTCTTCTTGTAAGAACGATTTCCACTCATCCTGCCAGGCATTTATTTGTCTCATGAGCTCTGTATACAGACTTGGTTCTCTGTATGGGACCATTAGCAATGAACTGTCATTTCAGCAAAAGAAAAGAAAATATAAAAAGCTTGGCAAACATAAAAGTAACTACAACTGCAAAACTTTTCTCTGTGTTTCTTCAATGAAAATTTAGATACTTACATTATTGTTACTTGAGGACGCTGTAGGATGAAGTCCCTTCTCTAATGAAAAATCTTAAAGGAAATGCAATCAATCCTAATAGGCACTTTTTTTTCTGTGATGAGAAGGAAGACTGTGGCAGCTAAATTCTCTGAATTACCTAAGTTATTCTGGGATAAATCACCCACAACTCTAGAACATGTTAGCTCTCTAAACCTGTCAGTCATGATCAGCAAATTTTTAAACACTAGAATACAGAAGAACATGGCTTTGATACACAAGCCCTTGATATAGGTGCCGCAACTTCAACACCAAAGATGTATGGTTCCTGCAAGCATGTGAGATGAAATATTATACCAAAAACCCTCCACTGTTATTCCTTGAAGACTTCTCAGCAAGGATTAGAATATACATATTTCACGCAAAAATTAGACTTAAAAAACAAAATGGCTTTTATTTATGAGTAGAGAAATCCAAAAACCTAGAGTTGCTACCTTTGCTTAATGCCAAGACCATGAAAATGCAATGATCTGAAGAAATTCACACTTTCTTCTCCGGGGGCATTGTTACACACTCAAAAAAGTCAAATTGCAGTTACCTGAGCTTGCAAATAATTTATACCTATCATTTGTCGTATAGTCCTAGCATTTTCCTGCTGTGCTGACCACCTACATGTGGATATATGTTGCAGCAGTCATGTTCTTGACACAGTCACTGAAAGAGAAGAATACGTTATTTGAGAGTATTTGAAATATCCAGGACTAATCTGCCCAGCAAAAACTACAAGCTCATACACTGAAAAAAAAACAACAAACCCAAAACAAGCAAAAAAAAGCCCTGCTTTTCCAAAGTATGAAATCATGAGTTACAAAGTCATTTTTTCAAATGTAACAACTGACTACATAAACCAGCAAGGAATCCCCACGGATTGTCACTTATTTAATTCCTCTTAGCAATTAAATGAGTATAAAAAAATCTTTTAAGAAAGAAATTGCCGACACCTGTACTCCACAGCAAATATAATCATGGAAGAGCACATTTTAGAAAACATTATTCTTCCTATTGTCACTTTTGATATTTTAATATTTTAAATATTAAACTTCCATGGCCTTTTCATCATAAATATCAAAATGTTATTAGTCAACAAGAACTGAAATATATTCATAACCTGATCTTATCATTACCAACTGTATCGCAAAGGACACATTTTTCTGATGTCTTAAATATATTTTCCCATGAAAAAGAGTAGGGAAGATTTAAATTAAAAAATGCTTTCTATCATGCAGTAAAATCTACACTTTTCAGTGCCTATGATTTTCATTTCAGCGCAATTGCTGCAAAATCCAAGCTGAAATCTAAATTACAGTTATCTCTGTTAAACAGAGGCTATTTGCAATCATTCCAACATTTTCAACACTTTGGCTGAAGGGATAAATGTGTCAGTATCTTTCTTCTTTAAATTTATGTATTAGAGGTTAGACAGAAAAAAAGGAAAACTCATTAGATCATCCAGTTCGTCCTGCCAATCTCTGTACCTATCATGTCTATCAAGTACTGCAGACAGCTTCTGGGTGTTCTCTGCATAATATATTGGCAGAATATGACCCAAAGTTTTTGTTTTCTTACTAAACGTCACCAAGATAAACAAACAAAAAAATCCCTCTGATCTGAAACTAAATGAGAAGAGAACTACAACCAGCTGACCTAAAAAAGATCTGCAGGAGCTATGCATCAGCTGAGTTTTAAAACCTTTCGCTATTCATTTCTAACACAAAAGCTGATCTTAGTGAATTTACAAAGGTGTCGGTCAGGGAAATACATTCCTATTTTTGGCAGCAAGAGAAAATAAGCATTAAATTTTTATATAATAAAATAGCAACATTAGGTTTAGAGAACATAAGTATCAAAATATTCTAATGTTTCCCTAGGTTCAGTTTCATTCATATCTGTGTCATTAGGAAAATAGTAGCAAGAACATAGTGTTGCCAAATTGCTTCTGTCCCACTCCTTATCCTTCCCTGCAACTTCAGAAAAGAAAATTGCTCCAAATCAAGCAGACTAGTATTTCTTCTTTGTTATTCAATTGGAGACCAGGACTGCTGTAAACAATTTATTTCCACATACATATCAATCATATAATATCAAATTTTATTGAAAAAAATAAATAAAATAAACCCACAGCATATTTACGTTTTAAAAAACCTCAAATACTTTTATTTGTCATATAGAATACTAATTTTAATGAGTGTTTCAAGTTTTTAAAAGATCGTAGCCCCATTTCGTCATAGCTCCAGAGAACCATAATTGTGGTTCAGCCCCCCCCCAGCATTCTTGGCCTCACAAGACAAGAAATGTATAGATCATCTGTGCTGCAAAGATGACTCACAGTGAAACCAGTGGGGGCTAAATAAAATCCTTGTGTAGCTACATGCATTAATTTTCCAGTATTATTTTAGTTATTAAATCTCAGGATATTACCAAAACTTTTATCTTTGGCTAATTGTATCACCAAAATTATTATTGAATATACTGTGCAACACATATGCAGATATATCAGTTGAAAAAAAAAGAAGTAAACTCATCAATTTCAAGTTTCCCTGTTGATAAACTTTGGAACTGGATGAACTGGCTCTTACATTGTGATGAAAACCCCATAAAAAATCTGAAAATTCCTTTTGCCTTTCAGCAGCTCAGGAGTATAATCAGGTGGTTTCTGGACCATCAAGAGGCAGGTTTCTCACCTAGCAATCACATTGTTTGGCCCATACCATCTTTGGTTACCATTCAATGAGGAACTTATTCTTGACTGGCAAAAGCTAAAAAGACAATAAGGACCTGAATCCAAAGCCTTGTGAATTAAATAGAAAAAATTCCCACTGGAATGAAGAGGTTGAGGAGGATACAGCCCTGAGCAATTTACAATATATCTTCTGACCTGTATTTTAAGCCTGGTAGAGATGGAATGTAAAGTATACATTGCACATGTATGACATATGTTTAATATAATTCCAAGGCATATCTTTGATTAAGGTACTGGAAAGGTATGAAAGCAAAAGTAATGTTGTAATTTAAAGCATGTAACCATTTATTTTAGTCTATGTATGTGCATTCACTGATAACACTTTCCTGAATCTTCCAGGCAGGCTTTAATAGAAAGCAGTGATAAATGTCACTTACTAGACACTCTCCACTGATATCATAAAAAGTTTACAAAACACCAAGATACAAATTTCCTCCAGTTTAACTTTTGCTTAAGATAGTGAGGCAAGGGGGCACAAAATCACAAAATGGAATATAGAAACCTTTAGAATTAGATTTAAGTATGTTAAGTTTGATGGCTTTGTAACAGCAATGGAAAATTACTGAGGTGCACAATACATAGAGAAAAAAAATAGAGTACAGCTAGAGAACATACTGAGAGTTCTCACAAGATAAATCATTATAGTTGTTATAGTTGTGACATAGTTTAAGAAAAACAGTCTGGAAGAACAGGACACAGGGATAAAGAGCAACTGGGAGCCGCAGGTGTCCAGGATGGGCTACAGTTAAACTAACTGATAAGCAGGAGGACAGGAGGATTATTATGTCTCTGGTGCTAACAAACCAATTAAACTGGTACGAGCATCTACTGCGCATGCTTCAAAGGCTGCCAGAAGTGATGAAGATTGTTGGAAGAAGTAAATGACCCTCAGAGACCACCACAATTCTGTGCGCATGCGGGGAACTTTCTGGAAAATTACGTAATCCATGCGTAGCCTCATGAATATGTATGTATGCCCAGTGGCTATAAAAGGATGGCTTGTGTGGCAGTGGGGAGACACACGTTAGGAGGAGCTATCCCCCGTGTCTCCTGGCTCCGTGATAAAGAATACCTGCTTGTCAGCTTGAAAACTTTCTTGGCAAGTTTGTTCCTGGAGTTTTCTCCAAATCAACAGCCAGATGTTGGAGCTTCAGTTCACATAGGTTTCTTTCCCACCAAATGTTTCTGAAAGGCAAAAGCTAACAAAACTCAAGAATATCAGAATGTTTTCTGTTTTCGAACGAGGTCTTCCTGATTAAGAAATGATGAAGGCATTACCAAAGAGTTTTATTGTAAACACTTGAACTAATGTTGGTAAATGTTATTTTTGCTAGACCAAAAAAAGCCAGTTTCAGCCAGCTCCAAGATGGACTCACCACCAACTAAAGCTGAGTCCATCAGAAACAGAAGTCTTAGAGGGTTCTATTTCCTTATTTCCCACATATATTACCATGCAATAATGCTTAATATTATTATGTAAAACTTGAATTCTTCTCAAGTCATGACCATTTTCAAATGAGCTAAAAGAACTAAAAGTGTATAGAATTATTGGAAGTCACTACCATATATACATCTAATTTAAATAAAATATTATTTCTGATGCTGATGCAGCTGTGACTTTAAAGTACATAGTTTTTCACAAGTGCTAACTCTTATGACTATAACTGAAAACTTAAAGCAAATCCGACTGGGGTAGAAGCATTTAAGTGACTAAGGTATGGTTTTCCTAAATATGAACATAATCAAAGCTATAAACAAATAAATTTATATTAGAAACTGACAAGGTTAGTCCTGAAGACCATTTTAGGGCAATTGAAAAGTTGTTCCAAAGCAAAATCATGTTTCTATGCTTTTGCAGTCTAGCCTGAATATTGCGGTATCATCCAAATGCAAGGCTTTTCTTTCTTTTGCCTGTGTTGCTGGGAAGCACCCCAGGGCAAGAAAGTTTATTCCCAAAGAAACCCAAAGAACTTGGTTTGTTGGCTTCAGATACTTAATAGCTTCAGAACGGTTTGTTTCTTTGTATTTTTTTCCCACACCAATTTTAGCCATCCAGTCTAAGAGTAAATCTTTTGTGACTAGGCATGGTCCGGACTCTCCCTGCAGCTGGTAGGGGAAACAGGGCATTTCTAGGACACATCCATCTTAAGATGGGTGTCTTGACATACCCATCAATGAGAACTGGGGTAAATTTCTACCTACAAGTGCCTTTTCTACAGGACGCTAGATTTTAAATAGCAGAGGCGGATATGTCCTTTCAGGCCAATATACACGTTTTCTTTCTACATGTCAGCCTCAGTCACCAGCATCCTCCAATGCAGGACAATGTGTTATCACCAGTAGCAGCCCAGTTCGCTATCTACCAGTTTGTTACTGTGCAGGAAGGTGACGTGTAGAAAGACATGATGATGTAACTGGAAATTGCAATTCAAAACTGCTGCCTGAGACAGAAAGAAGCCTTCCCAAGCAACAAAATTTCCTTACTTTTAAATGGTTTTAAGGGATTGGAGCAGAGTATTTAAAACAATTACTACAAACAAGAGATGTGTATTTAAGCCATGTCATGAACTCCTGCAAATTTGCCCAGGAATCTCAACTGTAAATAGCTTCTTCATAACATGTGCTGAGGTTCCGAACCAAGTGGGTGTGACACCAGCCTTATCAATTCTTTTAGCTTGGACTGTAAATCTCATTAATCTCGTACACCCATGGACTTTGTGATCTTGGTAACAATCTTCAAACAACTTTGCATGTGAATATTAATATACAAAAAAAAAGAAGAGTTCAGCCCAATGTGAAGCTAAATTATCTGCAGTGTTTTAGAGATCAGCATGAAGGGATTTTACTTCAACATGTATAGAGTTATATTAATTATTATTAAACGTTTTACTTTCTGCACATTTCCCTGGGACATGGAGGTTTGAGGACAGTTGATCCCTTTTTGGTGAGTTCAAACTTTGTAGCTACATACCCCAATGGGCATGTTTGCCTGTTTAACTGTCCAATTTCCATTGATCCATGGATGTGGCAGGAGGTGCCAGTGCAGCCAAATCAGCTTTTCTAAGGAAAACATTCCTTAAACTTCTTATTATATGCATGTTTTATCTGAATTCCATTTTGTAGACTAATGAGAAACAGAAATAAGCTTTTATTCCCTTTTGTGGAACAGATCTAGGAGAAGAGGGGGTTATGCTGGGCATGTTGATTTACCGATGTTGATTTCTGGTTGTTGATTTACCTTCTGTTTTAAGGGCATCTAAAATTGCTGCAGGATCTCTCCTTATGTATTTCTCATTAGTATTTCTGTCAACTGTGTAAACAATTAATTAACTAAATGAGGTTTTTTTGTCTCATTATTTACACCTATTTTTCACTTCTTTCCTCTGCTTATCATCTACAGGTTG